CACAAACAAAAAAAGAGGACATTCAGCATCAAAGAGAAAGGGAACCCCCATGTTTTGCAGCTCCAGAAAAAATAACATCAGAGGGGAGAACAAAACAAAATAGCCCCATGAGTAGTGAGTAGGCAGGGAGAGTCTAGAATATCGAGGGCAGATGATTATAATAATAGCAGTATTAATCATCTTAGAACAGCAGAGCTGGAAGGGACCTTCTAGATCATCAAGTCCAGCCCTTGTCAAGCAGGTACAGCGGGGGACCAAACTCCCAACCCTCTGGATCCGCAGCCAGATGCCTAAACCCCCGAACTATCCAGCAATTCCTCTTTTACTGCATGTACAACACCCCGTTCTTTCTCAGTTACCTGTAGGGTCCTTTCCAGCTCTACAGTTCTAGCGTGATGATGCTCACTTGCACAAGGTAGCGTTCACCATCTTCTTGCACGCACAGAAGTCTTGTTGCTTTCAACTGTAGGTGAGAGATCACATTTAGCTCTATCCCCAGTGGGACATGCTGTTTTTCCCTAGCAGGATTCTGCCCCGAGTATATTCCAGACATATTCCGGTGTGTGTGTGTGTGTGAAATAAGGGCACAGCTGGCCGGCACCCGAAACAGGAGCTCTCTAGGACTACATATTTTGCTGCTAGTTTCAGCTCACTTGGTCTGCTTCAGAAACTGAAGCATATTTTACATTCATAGCCAGGAAAGACCCCAGAGGGAAAGGAAGGTGTCCAATCAGCAAAACAGACAAGCACTATGAACTGGAGAAACTCATCTTCTGAACTACACCATTACACACTCCAGGACCGGTGGTACCTTAGAATGTCAGAGATGGAAGGGACCCTACAGAACAGTGGTTCTAAAACGTTTTCAGCTCACAGCTCCCTTGCCTTACTAGCCACGGCTCCCCAGTACAGCAGGACGGCTGTATCAACAGGATCAGTACCCATTGTTTCACTTATCCGCTGCCTGAAAAAAATAAAATAAAAAACTCCAAAACCTAGACAATACACCTTCCCAAAGTGTATTACCAGGACTAACCACTAGATTCCCTGGAAAAGACGCTAATGTTAGGAAAGTGTGAAGGCAGGAGGAGAAGGGGACGACAGAGGACAAGATGGTTGGACAGTGTCATTGAAGCAACCAACGTGGATTTGACCCAACTCTGCGAGGAAGACAGGAGGGCCTGGCGTGCTCTGGTCCATGGGGGTCACGAAGAGTCAGGCACGACTAAACAACAACTGCCACTAGATGGAACCAGAGACTATGTCCACAAAACCTTATACGATGCAGTACTGTATTGAAATATAATGGTCAGTCTTTAAGGTGCCACATGTTGTTTTTTGTATTGTATTGTATTAATGGAAACACACTCGTGGCCTGACTTCTCTGACGTTAAGGAGCTTCTGGAAAAACGGAGAAGCTGCATTTTTGTGGGTGGCAGGGGAGGGCAGGGCAGAGGCTCTCCCTTGCAAACAGGAGGGCAAGAACCCCAATCCTGGTCCAGGGTACCCTCTCTCCATCACGCACGGATACCAGAGAAAGTGGAAGTAGGTGCTTTATGATAGCTTGGTTGGGGGTGGGGGAGGCGGGAAGGGGGAGAGGAAGAGAGGATTCCATGGTGGCCCTGGGTGGGATTCTCAGCGTTCTTGCGTGCCTTGGTGCACACTTTTGGGAAACGCTGCTATAGACCATCCAGTCCAGCCCTGATCAAAGAGGCACAGCGGGAGATTCCAGATTCCCAACCTCTGGCTCCGGAGCCAAAGAACTAAATTATGGAACTCCGGTGACCATACACAGAGGGCACTGTCTTCTCACACTATATGTGGGGCTGGGTGTTAATCAAAGCAGATGGAGCGGGGGAGGGGGGGTAAGAAAGGGAAAAAAGCAAAAGGGAAAAAAAACAAGGCAGGCAGTGCTGGCAAGGATTCAATGTCCAAAAAAAGGGGGTGGAACAGGGGATCAAAGGAGCCACTCCTAAGGGGTGCTGTTAACAAGGCTGGACCAGAGTCGGAGAACGCTGAGCCCCTCCTCCAGATGTTTTGTTCCACAACTCCCATTGTCCATGCGCATCATGGGAATTACAGTCCAAGACAACTGGAGCACCAAAGACTAGCATTCTGGGATTAAAAAAAACAAAGGCTGGGACCCCCTTTCTGAAAACAAAGACCCCCTAGAATGGTAGTGGAGGAAGGGGCTACCAAGGCCACCGAGACCAGTGCCCTGCCCAGGTGGGCAACCCACAGGTAAAGCTTCCCTGATGGACAGCCACCCAGCCTTTTGTTGAAGAACTTCCCATGGAGGGGAGACCCACCCGCTTTTGAAGGAAGCCATGCCACTATCAAAAAGGTCCTACGGCTTCCTCAGTTTGCGTTCCCATCTCCTCCCTTGTAATCAGAACCCGTTGAGTTCAACTTGGGCTCTCTGGAGCAGCAGAGAACAAAGTTTGCTCCGTCTTCTACTGAACAGCCCATCCCATGTTTTAACATCATTTTATTTTATTGGATTTTTACCCCGTCCTTCTAGACTAAAGGCCTACTCTGGTTCTCATCTCACCACTTCTCCGGGCTAAACCTACGCAAGAGTTCCCTCAACCCCGGGGGCTCGGCACCCACAACTTTGACCACCTCGGTCATCCTCCTTTGGAGAGGTCCCACCTTGCCAATATCATTCTTAAACTGTGTTGGCCAGAAACGGGTGCATGATTGCCACTGGGATTAGGGATTTATCAGATAACACAAAGCAGGGTGGTGGTTACCTTTGCTTCTCTCTCTCTCAGAACTGCAAAGGTAACTTCCTCATCAGCGTAGATTAATTAGTAGAACGAGGACATGAGAAAAGGGTCTACAGGCTTCAGCCAAGGGTCTGCCTTGTACAGCATTCCGCCTGCTCAGTGGCCATCCAGTTAACAGGAGGGATTTAATTGTTCTATTTCTTTGATTTATATACCACTCCATTAGTGCGAGGCACTGTTTTGGGACAGGATGCTAGCAGGCCGTGAAGTCTACTGTACCCTCCCTCCCCATGTTCCTCTGCAACCAATTTACAAAGATCACATACCGCCTCCAGTACTGGAGGGAATGGAGATACCCGCCATGATTAGCAGCCACCATGATTTGTCTAATCCATTTTTAAAAAATTCACACACCTAGGTGGTCGTCACTATATCTTGTGGCAGCCAGTTCCACAGTTTAGCTATGCACCCTGTGAGGAAGTGCTTCCTTTTATGTGTCCTGCTTCAGGGGATGACCCCTTTGGGTTCTACTATTATGGGAAAGAGAGAAAAATCCCTCACCATTATCTCCTCACCATTAGTTCTAAATGTATATATACTCTAGCATTCTAGCATGCTTTCCCTTCTATGGCCCCCTTTTTTAGCAAAGAAAAAAAAGAACCTGCAGATAGATGTTTTTCACACTGGACAGCTTCTCAGCCATCCCTGTTGATTTTAGTTGCCCTTTCTAACTTTTTTCGAGCTCTATGATTCAGAACTGTACATGGTATTCCAAACCTGGTCACACTACAGATGTGTATCAAGGAATTATGTATGGTAGGACACCCATATCCACAGGATCAGTATCTATGGTTTCATTTATTCAAGGTCAGAAAATATTTAAAATATTTTTTTAAAAAACTAGAAAAATACATTTTCAAAATGTATTTACCAGAACTGCCCACTAGAAGGAGCCAGAAACCATGGCATGTATTCTTCAGCATGGTCTCTGGCTCCCTCTAGTAGCCAGTTCTGATAATATATCATGAAAATATGGATTACCCAATTTTCTTTTACCATGCTATATATAGCGTTTGCTATTATTCGCAGTTTGCTACAACCAAAAAGGCGGGGAGCTTGGAATCAATCCCCTGTAGATACAGGGGTCTTACCATATTTGGAAATTGTTTTTATGCCTACTCCTAATGTGTTAAAACCTACTTTTCCACAGCTGCCACACACTATGCAAAATTTTCATACTGCTACCCATTATCATGGGTCTAGGACCCCCTTTTCCTGGTCAAATCTCACTAGGAGTGTATGTGAAACTGAGATTGTTTCTATCTTAACATGCATCCCTTGAAACTTCCTTTGCCTTTAGTCATATCTGCTAATGGTGGTGCCTACTCTCCATTTTGAACCCTCAATCTAAATGCAGGTCTTACAATCTTGATGCACAGCCCAGTTTTGATACTTCTTCAGATATTTCCCTACTACCCAGTCTCTGGAGCACCTTAAAACCTCTTACAGTAGTGCCTCGCTTGACGACGATAATGCGTTCCATTAAAATTGCTAAGCGAAATCGGCATCAAGCGAAATTAAAAAACCCACTGAAATGCATTGAAAACCGTTCAATGCGTTCCAATGGGCGAAATACCTCATCGTGCAGCAAAGATCCTCCATAGGGCGGCCATTTTCTGGTGTCTGTATAGCGAGGAATCCGTCCTTAACATAGCAAGGAGCCATTTTGCACAGCGGGCGGCCATTTTGAAACCCGACGATCAGCTGTTTTTAGATCGTCATAATGCGAAGAATCGGTTCCCAAAGCAGGGAACCGATTGTCGTGAAGCGAATTTTCCCCACAGGAACATCGTTTTGCGATCGTAATAGCGATCGCAAAAAAAAACATCGCAAAGTGGATTCAGCATTTAACGAGGTAATCATTAAGCGAGGCACCACTGTATTTCCAACAATTCACACTGATCCAATTTATGTGGATTGGGGATTTTTCCTCCCTTATGAACCAAGAGTTCATACTGAACCTTTGCTTTTCATCTTCTGAATCAGACCTGAAATATTCATTGTCTATCCCAGCATTTCACTTCTAACAGAGACTAGCAAGTGGCTTCCAGGAAGCTCAGAGACCCGGTATGAAGGCCAGAGCCTTTATTCATTGCTTATGCCAAAACTCCTGGTACTCAAGAGGTAGGCTGCTTCTGAAGCTGGAAGCACTATTTAGCTATCACAGGGCTTAAAGTGCAGCCGGAACATGCTTAACTAAAAGGGAGCTAAAACCAGGTAAATTTTTTTGTGCTTTTCTTAGGCTGCTCACGAGAAACTCTCTGGATCTGTGCACTGTACTAGGCTTTACGCTGCTCTTAAAACAAACAAACAACGTAGGATCAAAAGGGTGCCTCTATCCTTCTCACTATCCTAATTTTTTCCCCCCAACCTACTTCTATTTTCCAAAACCCATCAAACTAACGCTATATTATGCTTCCCTATTCTCACTTCTTGCCTACACTGCGCAGGCTTCCGAATCCCAACACCTTAGGGACTAGCACCTTGCCTATAAGTATCACAACGGACCTATGCATGACCAGGACACACTACATCGTAAAGGACAGGACAGGCATCGAGTCACAGAGGAGACCCCCTACTGGAGCGGCTGCTAGGGCCCTGATCCGCCCCTTCCCACAAGCCGCCCAGGCCGTAGCTCTCGACCGCGTGGGTTCTCTGGTGGGCGGTGAGGCTCGAGTGGGTGCTGAAGCTCCTCCCACACTCGTTGCAGATGTAAGGAGTATATATCGAGTGCGTTCTCATGTGCCGGGTGAGCTTGGAGCTGGATATGAACCTCTTCCCACACTCGGTGCAGCCGTACGGCCTCTCCCCCGTGTGGACCCTCTGGTGGGTGTTGCGGGTGGACAGGTGGCTGAAGCTTTTCCCGCACACATTGCAAAGGTACGGTTTCTCCCCCGTGTGGATCCTCTGGTGTTTGCTGAGGTTCGAGCTGTAGCTAAAGCTCTTCCCGCACTCGGAGCAACTGTACGGCTTCTCACCCGTGTGGACCCGCAGGTGTTTCGTGAGGTCCGAATTCTGTTGGAAGCACTTCCCGCAGTCCGGGCAGCCGTAGCCGTACGGCATCTCTTCCATGTGGATCCGCTGGTGGGTCACGAGGCCTCGGTGCTGGCTGAAGCAGGCCCCGCACTCGGAACACACGTAGGGCATCTCCCCCGTGTGAGTCCGCTGGTGGATCAGGAGGTTCGAGCGCTGGGCGAAGCATTTCCCGCACTCCGGGCACTGGTGGGGCTTCTCGCCCGAGTGGATCCGCTGATGCTTGAGCAGGTTCGAGCTCTGGCGGAAACATTTCCCGCACTGAGGGCAAGGGTAAGGCTTCTCTCCCGTGTGGATCCTCCGGTGAATCGTGAGGCTCGAACGCTGAGTGAAGTGCTTCCCACAGTCCGGGCACTGGTGAGGGCTCTCGGCCGGGTGGGCTCTCTGGTGTCTCGCCAGGGCTTGGTCGTGGTGGAACGTCTTCCTGCTCTCGGGACCCGGGAAGAAGCTCCTTTGGCCAAGCTGGGCTCTGCTGGGGCTCCTCAGGCCGTTTTCTGAGTTTCGGGTGGCTTTCCTCTCCCCGCGGTCGCTGCTGGAGTCGGCCAGGTCTGAAACAAAAGGGAAGAAAAACGACCTTGGGTTTCCCAATGAAATAGGTCACTCGAGACCCTGAGGAGAAAGAAACTCTTGTGACAGGGGTGGACAAAATGGAGTCCTCAGACCTCGTGCTGTTTTCCCACAGCCCCAAAGCCCTTCCATTAAAGATAATCTGAAGGAAAACATTATTCAGTCAAATAAGCTCTATTTCTGCTCCAGGAGGCTGCCAGAAGTGGCAATTTGTAGAATCAGGGATGGAAGACAAGCAAGACTCCTTCCGGCGAAAGAAAACAAACCAAGAACCAGAACGAAAAGTCCCTAATCCAGAGCCCTGTGGTGCGGTGGTTACACTTCATTACTGCAGTGAAGACTCTGCTCACAAGCCGAGTTCGATCCTGACGGGCTCAAGGTTGACTCAGCCTTCCGTCTTTCCGAAATCGAAGTCGGTAAACGAGTACCCAATACTTCTCATAGAATTATGTTGTAAACCACCCAGAAGAGTGTTCTAGCACTATGAGGTGCTTTACGTTGAAAACAACATATCCTGTTTTCTTCTTTTTTTCTCTCTCTCTCTCAAAAATATGGCCTTATTTTCTCATTATGCACAATACTGAATAAAACAGCCATGGGAACAAAGAACAATCTTCCTTTTTGATTCGAGAGAAGAGAGAAAGTTCTTGATTGATTTGATATAATACCTACCCTTGGATCATCATATTCACAACATATCGTGAGAAAGGCCAGGCTCACTAGAAAGGGAATCATGCCAGGGAAAGTAGAAGGTAGCAGGAAGAGAAGACCAAACGTTGAGATGGACGGACTCAAAAAGAAGTCACGGCCGTGCGTTTGCAAGATATGAGCAGGGCTGTTCACAATAAGATTGTTTGCAGGACACTAACCCCTATATAGGGTGACTGAAAGTCAGAGGTAACTTGATGACACACAACAGCAGCTGCTACAAACTTTGGCCGAGAATAAAACTGGGGACTGCTATTCTATTTGGACCTCCACACAAGCCATTCTCTGCGACTGTCCTCAATATGGAAACTTTCCTGTTGATCCATTAAAAAAATCTTTAAATTGGGATCAAGCAGCATAACAGATAAGAGTTACCCCATAATTCTCACCAACCAATGAGAGTAGACCAATGGGGTCTTACCCATGGGGCAGATTGGTGTGCAAGGAGCCAGAACATATGACTGCAGACCCACACCTGCACTGCATGATTCTATTATTGAAAATATATTTTCAAAGGTTTTGTTCTATTATTGCATGTGTCACAGTCTGATTGTTAAATTTTTATGGTTTATTATATATTCTTTATTGTAAGCCGCCCAGAGTAGTCGACCAGACCAGATGGGCGGGATATAAATCAAATAAATAAATAATTTTTTTTCAAAAGTTCCCCCATGTGGTCCATGACCTCTGAAGATGCCAGCCACAGAGACTGGCAAAATGTTAGGAAGAACAACCTTCAGAACACGGCCAGAGAGCCCGAAAAACCCACAACAACCATTAGATCCCGGCTGTGAAAGCCTTTGCGAATATTTGTTTGAAATGTGGTGCTGGAGGAGAGTCAAATAAGTGGATCCTGGATCAAATCAACCTTGAACTCTCTCTGGAGGTAAAAATGTTGAAACTGAGACTATCCTACTTTGGGTACATAAGGCAGGATTCCCTGGAAAAGGCAATCATGCTGGGAAAGGTGGAAAGCAGCAGGAGAAGAGGAAGACCGAAGGGATGATGGACTGACTCCCTATCGGAAGCCTCAGGCTTGAATTTGCAAGAGTTGACCAGGGCAACTGAGGACAAGGCCTTTTGAAAACTGCTCCTCCGTAGGGTTTGCATAAGTCAGAGGTGATTTGCCAGCAAATGACAACAAGAACATTAAAAAGGCAGACAATGCACAGATTGGGGGGGGGGACCAAGAAGTTAGACACACCATTTAACCCCAAGCTATAATGGAAGCTAGCCCCAACTGTGTTCCCGTGTTTCCTAGAAACACGGGTAGATTTCTAACGAAAGACAGCTAGCACAGGCAGTGGCTGAGGATGATGGGAACTGTAGTTTACAAACACGCAGCGGCCGAAGAGCCCCTGGCCCTGCTTAAAAAAAAAAGAAACTCAAGCAGGAAGCACAATTTTCTTTTTATCACATCTCCCTTGCAAAAGCATTCCTTTCCCCAGTTTTTACTCCAGTTTCCAAGCCTGCCGAGTGTGCCCAGTTTTGAGCAGGTTGGGTTTCTTGTGGTTTTTTTTTTTAAAAAAAAAACTCTTTGGGTTTGTGCAGCTTACAAAACCGATGTTTCAAAATTTTTTTGAAACCTTCCAGGTTCCCCCCCCCCCCCACCCGAGCATGACGAAACAATTCCCACAGGAGCCTTGTCTAGGGTATATTTTTTTCTGCAGTCGATGCTGGAGTTGGCTATTAATGGAAGTGATAAAAACAGCCATTGTGTTAAGCTACCTGGAGAGAAAAGGGCTAAGCCGATGCTATTCTTAAGGGATGCCAGAGGATCCTGACGGCCGGGGACGCACGGAATTCTTACCCAGGACTCTGTTGCCTTCCGGCTTCGCCTCTCTGCACACTCGCTTCCCTCCAGCACCCAGGGAAGATGGTTTCGTCTCCGACCAGTTCATAACCCGGGCTTCCAGCATCTGCAACACCAGGTGAAATATATAAATGTGAGAAGCTGTCTCATGCCAGGGCAGCCAATTGGCCTGCCTTGTGTTACTTGACTCCAGGGGTGCACAACCTCTTCTGTCCCAAGGGTTACATCCAGCACTGGCTGTCAGGCAGGGCCAGCGTGTAAGTACATGAAGTATGCACACTTCAGTTTCTATTTATGTGCATCTTCCAGGGTGACACATATATAATTTGTGCATCTACACGTGCACCACTCAGTAGCATGAAGGATGGGCTTCAAACCTTCATTCTCACCCAGATCTAGAAAATGGCTGGCAGGAAGCTTTAAAATAATATCTGCCCCCCTCCATCCCACAGTAACTATTGGTAGAGGGTGGAAATTTCTGGCTTAAAACCTCCAGCTACACAATGGAGGGGGGTGGCTTAAAACCTCCAGCTACACAGTGGAGGGGAAATAAATACAGACAGGGACCTACAGAGCAGATTATTATCTAATTACAAGTCTCCCTCAAAGATACCACCGTTTATCGTTTGGTTAGTTTTACATCAACTGGTAATATAGTCTCAATAGATTCAATGAGTGACTCTGGCGTTGAGAAAGAAATTTTTTTAAAAAAGTTTCAGTTTTACTCACAAATCTTCATATATGTCAGAATACAGACAAACGTATTTACTGGTTATTTAGTTCGAGATCAACTGATTAACTTCATTATTTGACTAACTGATTGCTTACCATAAACATTTCACTCACTCTAACCGTTAGAGTGAGTTAGGAATGTTCAGATTCTGTTTGTATGTTAACATTTGACAGTTGTGGAATTGGCAGTCAGAGTCTAACATATAAACACAATCAGGACATTCCTAATTCACTCTGACTGAACTTACTAGAAAAAGGCGGGCAAAGGAATCAGAGGTAAAGTGAAAACCATTGGCTGCTACTATGTGATTGACATTCAGACTCAAAGTCCCTCCCAACCAAACCTCCCAAAGGCATAATAGGCAGGTACAGTGATGCCTCACATAGCGAGGTTTATCCGTTCCGGATTAACCTTCGCTATAGCGAAACATCGCTGAACGGTACAGGGAAAGCCACTGGAACGCATTAAACATCGTTTAATGCGTTCCAAAAGGCTCCTTTACTTACCGTTCAGCGAAGTTTCCTATGGCCGGCAGCCATTTTCGCGCCCTCGTTAAGCGAGGGGAGGGCGCAAAAATGCTGCGCGCGGCCATTTTGGGGCTTCCGGAGGCCATTTTGTCCACCAAACAGCTGATCATCGGAGCTTCGTTTTGCGAAGATCGGTAAGCGAAACGCTTACCGATCTTCGCAAAGCGAATTTCACCCTATCTAAAGCTCGTTGAGCGATCGCATTAGCGATCCCAAAAAAGGGATCGCTATGCGATTTCGTCGTTGTATGGTGCGCTCGTTAAGTGAGGCACCACTGTATCTATAATTTGAACAGTAATTGGCAGTAAGACTGCAGTTCCTCTACCATTTACTAGGAAAAAAGCAACCTCAGAAGCAATTCCCCTTGCCACAGCAGATCCACTGGGGTACGGAGGACACTAGGGGACACATCAAGCCGATTCAATTATTTTCCTATGATGGCCAGATTGCTAGTTAGTACTTCTGAAAGAACAGTTAGGAGCAATTACCTCATGTAGCTCTAAGTCATTTGACACCTGCATATGACTAAACCTGCCAGATCTGACAGACGGTGCAGTGACTTGGGCCAGGGGGCCCTTTTGAAAGAGCCGTCCCTTAAGGAGGTAAGAGGGATGGCTTGTAGACAAAGGGCCTTTTCGGCAGCTGCCCCCAAACTATGGAACGCCATCCCGACTGAGATTCCTCTGGCATTGACGCTGATCGGTGCCAGGTCAAAACCTTCCTGTTCCAGAAGGTTTTTAATTGAAATAATATCAACTGCGCGTCCTGATGGCAATTTTTAGAGCAGGCTTGTCCAACCTGCGGCCCGAGGGCCGCATGCGGCCCAAGTCAGCTCGCAATGCGTCCCAGTGCAATTTTTTATTTTTAAAGAAATTCCAAAGTTTCAAGGTACACTGCCGGCGCTTGCGGCCAGAATGTGACCGGGACATGTCACAACAGTAGAGGGGGAGTGACGGAAGGAAGGAAGGAGCAGGAGGGGAGGAGAGGGGACGGGGGGCTGCATGACTGCATTGCGCTATCCCCATCAATAGGTGGACCCCCTCCCGGACCCATAAAGCCACCGGAGTCGAAGCTAGCAGCCTCTGCTGTCTGAGATCACAGCTGCCGGTAAGTTCGCTTGGAGCGGGTCTGTGGAGGACGGCTAGGGCTGCCCCCCCATGCGGCCCAAACCAAATGTATGTGCGGCCCAAACCACATTTTCATCTTCTAACGTGGCCCAGGGAAGGTGAAAGGTTGGAACACCCCTGTTTTAGAGTATATATTTTAACTGTATTTTAATTGTTTTATCTTTTTTTACTGTATTTTAATTGTTGTAAGCCACCCAGAGACATCTGGGCCTGAGCACGCTCTTTAGCAAAACCCCCCCCCCCCCCACACACAAACACTCCCCTTGCCTGCTCAGAGGTGGGGAAACTAGGTTTCTGGACTACAGCTCCCAGAATCCCTCAGCCAAGTTGCCTGGCTGGGGGACTCTGGGAGTTACAATTAAAAAAAAAACTTTCTCGAGCTTTGCACTATCTACTCGTAACCCATGAGAGCTTGCTGAAGTATTCACGTTATTCTAATATTGAAACCTGTATTCCTGGTTTCAGGTCGTTTTCCAGGCTGAGGGCAAAGGTGGAACTAGTTTTAACCGATGAAGTCCTAAAACAGTTCAGCTGACGGGCCATCGGCCTCACTGTGGACTAGCCACGTACGGTATTCAGAGCTGTGTACACTACCACAGCCCCACCGGGTGGGCACACAGAAGGGGGTTTCGGTTGTGTTGCTTCCGAAGGAGACCTTCCCAAAGAACATGAGGACTACAAAGACCATGCGGTGCCTCCTGGACCATCACAGCACCCGGTCCGCTGGTCCTTCCTCTGAAGCACCACTGACACACACACAAAAAAAAAAAACTTCCAAATTGGAATGCCCCCCCCCCCTTTTGCTCCTTGCTGATTTTAGAAAAGGTGCTAGAACACATATTTTTAGTTTTGGCTGTTCAAGCTGTTTGGGTGGTTGTTATTGTTTTTTTACCCATTAAATCATTCTGGCTGGTTTTAATGTGCGGGCGCTCGTGTGCATGCTGGTTTTAATGTGCTCTGATATTATTTGACTGCCGTATGTTATCTCAGCTGTTTCTATAGAAAAGTGGAATATGCATTTACAGTAGTCTTGTGGTATGCACAGGGGAGAGGTTCTAAAGACCCCACTCTGTGGATGTCGAAAAATACTGATAAAGGTAAAGGTAAAGGTTTCTCTTGACAATTTTTGTCCAGTCGTGTTCGACTCTAGGGGGCGGTGCTCATCCCCGTTTCCAAGCCATAGAGCCAGCGTTTTGTCCGAAGACAATCTTCCGTGGTCACATGGCCAGTGCGACTTAGACACGGAACGCCGGTTACCTTCCCACCAAAGTGGTCCCTATTTATCTACTTGCATTTGCATGCTTTCGAACCGCTAGGTTGGCAGGAGCTGGGACAAGCGACGGGCACTCACTCCATCGTGTGGATTCGATCTTACGACAGCTGGTCTTCCGACCCTGCAGCACAGGCTTCTGCGGTTTAGCCCACAGTGCCACCATGTGGCTGTCGAAAAACACTGAAATATCAAGCTATACACTGCATGGTCTCTGGCTCCCTCTAGTGGCTAGTTCTGGTAAATACATGCTGGAAATATATAAATATGCATTGGTCCCCCTGTGCCGGTCCGTGGCCTGAGCTGGACCCAGCCACGGAGACAGACCCACCTCTCCACACGAACTCACTCCCACACAGCTGATTTGCACATGCGCCCTTGCTCCAGCACACCCATGTGAGGGCCGCGCCACCATTTGCGCATGCACACAAGCGCCCGCACAAGTGGCGTGTCGCCATTTGTGCATGCGCACAAGAGCCGCACCACCATTTGCGCAGTCACATGTGTGCTCATTTGTGCATGCACACAAGCGCGGGGGGTACCCCGCCTTTCCCAGCTGGTCCGCGGGGTGAAAAAAGTTGGGGACCCCTGATTATGCATACTATATTCTTCTGTGTACAAGACAATATTTTTGTGTAAAATCTTTCCTTATTCCACGGGGCTTAGCAAAAGGAGGAAGAAAACAGGGATCAAAGGGCTGCAGGATCGCTTTGATCGCTGCTTTCCCCCTCCACTTGCTATGCTCTGTGGGGCTTAGAAAGTGGCGGTGAAAGCAGCAATCAAACTTTCTAATTTGGGGTTAGAAAAGTAGGGGTTGTCTTATATACTGGAGCATCTTATACATGGAAAAATACGGTATTTATAGGAAGTTTAATTTT